GCAGGCGCTCCGAGCCTTCCATACGTTGCGATCTGCTGTTGGGGCCAGCCACCAGCAGTCCACGTGGGCGGGAGGGACATTCTCTGTGGCAGCGTTCCGGCTTGCGGACATATGACATTTGAGCCAAGACTTGAGCCGCAGCCATTTTGACATTACACAAGCGGAATCTGTGGCTGTCTGCTGCGGCCGCGCGGCATCCGGAGCCAGATAGGACTTGAGGATTTCGTACGTCGAGATGTAGACCTTCGCTGGGTGCTGAACGATGAGATCCATCAACAAGGTCTTCCTGTCACCCTGCCCTGTTGAACACGGGTGTCGGCATCAGATTTCAGCCAGGGAATTTCCAAACAACTGAAAGCCGAGCGCAAACGCCCGGAGTGCCGAGAGTCGCCACGATGCCAAACCTGAGTTTGAGAGCTTCGCTTCGCCCCGTCGTGTCTGAAGGTCAACGAAGCTCATGGCAATTCGTGCCAATCTGCTCGTCAACGGCTCCAAATCCACGAGTAAGCCTAGCCGATGTGACCCCTTGCTAGACACTGAGACATATGCTCTAAGTTAGGTCCCAGTATGTCCCTTCGCTGTTGTACCACAAACTTGGGAAAAGCATAGAGGGGATTTAATTTTTGTTGGCGCCGTTCTTTGCTCCGCTGTTCACCGGGTTTTCTGCGGCAGAACCACCACAAAAAGTGTCGAGGCAGGAAACCCAGTACTGCCGCGATCATGCGCAATCACCTTGTTTCTTGCCTAATCAAGAGGCAGTGCGAGACCTCGTGGTGTCCCGACAAAGATGCAAAGCAAGCGTGCCACACTTCAGCCCCTTATTGTGTTCGCAGGTGTCTGTGTGTCTGTGCGCGTGCGCGCACTGGGTCACTTTGCTACGGCCGATATGCTAGCAACCACTTGCGGACTAAGCCGATCGTGAATACTCACTATTTAACTTCGATTTGTCTTTATAACATACTACGATTCCCATAATTGCTATGCTGCTTGTGCTTAGTAAATCTTTCGGGGTCGTGGAGCTCCTTTTCCCTATGATGGCGATGACAGAAGCGATCATAATTTTCCTAGCCGTACTCTCATCATGAACGCGGTTGTCAGGATACTCGTACTGCGCATGGCCAGGATGCATGCCACGATCACAACGCTGGCAATCGCGTGGAAAGCTCCGGCAGTCTGGATTGAAAACCACGATGACATACTGACCATTTCAGCGATTGCTAATCTGCTACGAAAATCTAAGACAAGGCGTAAAGAGTGAAAAAGCACAGTAATCTGCTGATCATGACACGTACATGAATAAGTCGTCTGTGCCAATCGTCTTTGCAAAGACCTGACATGCTCCTTTGGGCCCCTCCTTCCTTCAAGCTTTCCCCTCCTGACTCTCGTGACTGTTGCCGCCCTCCGAGAAGGCAATCAAAAAAGATTTGTTTTATTCAATAAGTAACCAAAAATACAAAAAAGTCGATCGGCGGACAACGGCTACGGCTACACAGCTAGGAAAGGTTTCAGCGTCGCAGCACAAGCGACGCGGCATGTAACAGCCTGGGTTCGTCAACAGACCTCGTCCTCCTGTAGCACTTGATTCCGAAAATCCATTGCAGGCTCTGGGACTCTTGGCATATGAGCCGTTCTCCACGGAATGGGTTCGTCAGTTCGTCAGCTGAGCTGCCTACGCACCGGGACCCCAGGCTGACTGGGCGCCTCGCCCTCGATAGAACCCCCGAATGCCTGGAACCAAGGATTTGTAGCGAAACGAAGTGCCCCGTGATTGAGCACTCTCATCATGCAAGCTAACGAATGGGCCTTCTTCGGCGAAAGTTCTCCTGCAGCCTCCGGAAGCATCGCAGACTCCGTCTCTCGACTTCTGGGACAGACTCGCGCGTCAGACTGAGCGCACGACAGTGCAAGGTACTTCGGTACTCGCTCCCAGTGGCAGATTGAAGGCGGGACTGCACCAGCAGCACTTTGCAGCTACAAGTCCAGATGCGACCCTCTGTTGAGGATTACTCGGATCATGCATCCGTTGCTTCGTTGTGCTTGTTGCCTGCAAGATCCTTCAATGCCTGCTGGTGCGGGCCTAGAGCGGTCTGGCCTGCAAAGTTGAAGATCTGCGCCAGCTATGAAGGGTGCAAGTCACATATTGAGGAACCCATTGCGTGCCCGAAAACTTGGTTTCTCCGTGGGGAACGCACATCGGTCACTGGGGGCAGAGCAGCACACCACCACGAATCCGATCCACTGCGCTTCTGTGCATGCATTTTCCGGTATTGGAAACCGCCAAATCCTTTCCCTCTCCACCAACGGGCGGACCATTCAGGAAATGGTGTAGCATAAGCTGCTGCGTGCCTTGATGGTGTCAAGAGGGTGGCACGGCAGCCGAGAGATCAAGCCGCTCCTTTGCCGCGAGGCCGCGCAACAGTTTTTTTGGGATTTCGCCGGGAGAACTGCCACAGCTTTATGGAAGTCAAGGAAGTCAGAATGCCTTAGCCTTAACAGCAGGGTGACCGAGAGCCACACAAAGCGCTGCCCACCAGAGTATGTACCTTCTGAATTGAGCTGCTGCGCCCAAGGCTTGCGACTGAAAAGGAAAACTACAAGTAGGTCAGCGCAGCAGAGCGCACAAGCCGCGTTTCTGCCGGCTCCGTGGCCATGGCTTCGATATCGGCGGACACGCTCTCTCGCAGTCTGGTGCAGTGGGGGACCCAAGCAGTCCTGGTTGCGAAGGGCTGCGTTCTGTATGTGGTCTGACCCGAAGAGGAATTTTCATGCTCTGCACTCAGCCTATTCTTGCTGTCTGAATCGTGCAGCTCCTACAGTCGCTCAGCAGTTTCATCACTATGTGCAGGGATCTGGGGCTGTGGGCACAGCAGTCTTTGCTGCTGGACGCGGGCGAGAAATGCTGCCACAAAACCATCAAGACGGCTCTGAGGCCCATTCCGAGCTCAGCGGACCTAGCCGATAGCATCTCGCATGCTTTTTCCAGCGCCCCAGCACTTGCAACGACTGCCAGGGCTCAGGCTCCAAGCACTTGTGGACACACCAAAGTCAAAAGTGAAGCCTTTGGGCCAATAGGCGGGCATGTACCACATGCATCCTCGCAGCCGGCAACGTTGCAGGTAACCGCGCTTCTGTTTCAATATGCTTCTTGCTTGTGCCGGTGGTATCCACGGAAGTCGCGAATCAGCCAGGCATCGGTACCTCCAAGTGAGACTTGAGCAAACTACAGTAGCAGCTGTAGCTGTGCTTTCTCCAAAGCAGTGTGAGGCTTTGTTACCTGAGCTCTGGGCTTTGTCCTGCATGCTCCAGGGCTCCCGTGTTGTCGACCAGCCGTGCGGAGATCGCTCGGGCAAAGGGTGAAAGACGCGCGTGCGACGTTCGTGGCAGGACCTGTGCCGTAAGAGAACCGCAGTGGCAGCAGCTGCAGGTGCCCTGAGATCTGATCTGCTTCAGCAACTCAGCAACGTACCGGCTGACACGGATCCAGGATCTCACCGCTGCCACACCTTCGGTGCTTCACAGAAGCTCGCCGCGACTAGTGACAATGACTTCGTGTGCAACGCATTGCAACGCTGCATCCAACCCGTGCTTCATGCATCTTGCCAAAGGGCGTGAGACTACCCCAGAGCAAGCTAACGAACTCGGCATTCGGCAGAAATCCTTGGACTGAGCATGTGTGGCTGGACGGCCACTATGGCCGTTCTCACAGGTTGGTATTGCATCAAAGCGTCTCGGTAGGCTGGAACCACTTGGCGTACCACCGTGCCAGACGCGCAGATCTCGGACGAGGGCGCTTCCACGAGGCAGGGGGCAAAGCACGGAATCCTTCATCTCCTCAAGCTACTAGCAAGCGGTCCAAGTGCAGCTTCGGGTTCGCGGGTCGTTCTTATGCGGTGTGGAGGGCTAACCCACCCGACGCCTGCGGCTCGGACGTCAAGTCCGGAGGCTCTGTGGTGTTTTGGTGGGAGTACGGCACGGCCCTCATCGGTGCATCAGCACAGGAGATGTCTTCCAATGCGAAGTTCACACCTGAGTTCGCTGCCTTCTCCCTTCCACAGCAAACTCCAAAGCGACAGCAAAAAAAAAGCTTTGCGCAACCTAGGGACCGATTGCGGGAGCTTTTTCCAGACTGTGCACCGGCCCTCCAACGTCCAAGTGAAGCGACTGATACCTTGCAGGCTAAGCTGCCTTTGCTTGGCAAAGGCGCTATTCCGTGTCGGCACAACGCCACAATAATCCGCAACAAGATGCGTGCTGGTGCTGCCCAAGACGAAGTCACCACCACCGCCGCATGCCAAGAATCCCTCCGGGTAGTAGGCTGCAAGGAGCTGGTTGACAGGCTCATTGTCCAGCAACTGCTCCCAACCTGTCTGATTCGACAGGGCATTGAAGAGAAGTTGGAGGGAGACCTTCTCCCAAGGAGCATCCGAGCTTCTGACCTTCTATGTGCCTTGGCTTCGTCAGCGAGCCGAATGGTGAAGCAATGGGTTCAAGTCGCCAGCACCACCACAAATCCGCAAAGTTGCATCAGGTGCAGGGTTCGCGAAGCCCCACCAAAGCTATACCTTCGCGGACCGCGGTTCCCAAGCCGCTCGGGATCCAAGAGCAACATCTCCTCAGCGACCTCGTGAGCCAAGCACATTGCACACCTTTGCGCTTTGCACTTCTGACTGGGGAGCGGAGCTGAGCTGCTGAGCTGGGAGCTGGGCCTGCTTGGCCTTGTGGAGGAGCTCCGTGGTTTGTGCATCCGACAGCGCATCCAGGATCACCACCTCGGCCGGGGGCGATCCCCAGTCGAGCACCACACAACCCCTTGGAAGGAGTACTAAGAGTACTCTACTTTGAGGGGAAAAGCACAACTATTTTTATCATGATCCTGGACAGAAAGTCTGTGGCCAACTGCATCACCCAGTTGCAAAACCGACTTCGTCCAAGACTTTCGCTGCCTCCCTGTACCAGTCCTCGGTGCCTGCACCAGGAAGCTGCGCCAGCCCAGCGGTTGCTTTCTTTCCGACAGAGGTCCGCCAAACGGGTGTCTGAAGCCCAACCCGCTCTCGGGCAGCTTCCGCTGACAAGCCTTCACCGAAGTGCGCACAAAGCCGTTCTCCACTCACCACGAATGGATGGGCCAACTCACGGTTGGCCGCGGCAAGCGAAGATTTCAGGAAACACCGGCCCTGCAGAGAATCTGGCACTTGGGGCGCTTTCACAATGTAAGTCCAGTATGCACAGGCTTCGTGAGCCTGACAGAGGTGTCGGCACTGGACGCCGGAATAGGCATCATGCACTGCCACATCTTCACCTGACACGGAGGTTGATCGCAGGGATCCACTGGTACTGTAAACACCTGGCGATGGAACCTGCTGTAACTTCCTACAGGACAATCTATTCTCGGTTTTGTTCGCATCCTTCGGCAACTCCGGCACTCCCAAACCTCCAGATGCTCATGTACCACCACACAGCGCTACGTTGCATAAACCTGCGGGTTTGCATACTTCAGATTCTCAGGTCTCTATGGTCAGTGAATTTCCATTGCCAGAGCTGCTTTTGTTCTGCGGATGTTTCTGTCGTCGATGTGGTTGATGGGTCCACAATGCGCTGCAATAAGTTATCCGCGTTGTCATACACTCTTTGTTGGCTCGTATCGAGAAAACCCTCCTGTCCCGACCGGTTGCGAAAATCAAAAACGAAGAGACCAACGTCTGCCTGGCGCATCTTCGCCCCAGCGGTAGCAGTCGGCAGCCCCTCCCAAAGCGCAGCAGTAAGCCCTCGTCCACAGACCATGGTGCCAGCAAGCTCCGTCTGCACGATCGCAGCAGGACGGCTCAGGACATCGTGGATCGGGTGAGGCTGCAGCATAGACCAGAAGGCAGCAAGGCACGCCTGATCAACACAATCCGACCCGACTCTGAAGCTGCAAAAGAAAGGATGAACAGCGCAATCCAAAGATATCAAAAGCGGCCCACTCCAGCTACCCCGAAACCTCCTGGTGCAAGCAGCAGCCGCAAGCCCCTGTTGCTGAGCATTTTTCTGGCTCGCCATGCTGCGAAGGTTAGGGACGATGAGGCTTCCTATGGCATTATGGGCAGACTGGCTATAGGCACGATGCGTGCATATAGCTTGGAACTGGGCTTGCGTATGGTACTACGCTGGATTGGCTGTGGCTGGCGTGCATACCGGCTTGCTGCGGCATGCAGGTTCAGGCAAGGCAACACGCAGTAGATGCAGCTGTTCCGGAGGGCATGCAGCGTCTCGCGTGTTGGAGATAGATTTTTGGACCTCTCGCCATACATAGCGATCTCGAGTGAAGAGTGCCCAAAGTTGACTTGCAAGTAGACTGAGACAATGGGCCTGAACAGCCGCAGGGTTGTCCTGTTAAGGACACAAACGGGTCTAATGCCCTAGTCGTAAGAATTCCTCAGGGAAGGTCCCTCACGGATCTGTCTAGTCTATGCTTGGACGGTCTAAACAAGGACGACCTGAACAGCACTGTTACCAGGCTGACGGCTGGGCTCGAAACGTGGAGAGCGCACGCTCCATGAGGAGATCGGCTCTTTCTATGGCACTAGCACCGGGTAATTCCACGCCTCTAGACCGTGTGTTTTTGAAACTTTCACGGCTCTCAGTGGGTGATAGTGTCCAGGTGCTTCCAATCTTGCTACCGAGCCCCTGCAGATTCGCCAGGGCTGTCCGGGTGCACCGGAAGTGACACGGACAAGCTTAGCAGCTTAACACAATTTGACGCACGTTTTCATGCATGAGCTTTGGACAGCTCGCCCTACCACAACCCGCCACGGTACTGCAGCGTCTCTGCTGCCGAGCTTGCCTTTGCGCCGACCCGGAGCCCGCGCATGTTCATGGTGACGTGAAGCCTTCGGCAATAACTAAAATGCATATCCAGGCTGACGCCCTCAGCCCAGCAAGGTCACCTGAAGGGCTCCGCCAGACTCAAATCAAAATCATGAGGTTTCAGATATCAAGCCTTTCTTGCTCCTCCGGGCTGTCCTGGCATCCATGTGGCGAAAACTGGCACTTGCAGCATCGCGCAAGACCGGCCTCGGTGTCCTCATCCGAGAAACATCTGCTTGAAGTTGCGCCCTATAGAGACAGACTGTAGGCATGCTGACTCCGCTGGGCTACCCCATGATGCAAGGCCTTCCATGACTTCGGCAAGGAGGACGAAGGCATTTCGGGAAGATGCTGCCTGAAGTCGTCACCACGAAACTCAAACAACGGTACCGCCGCTTGCAGCTGTCAGTCCCCAGCGAGGTCGTGTGCCTCGCCTGCACAAGGCTTCAAAGTGTTGCTGCTGGGGCGAAAGTGCGCAACGATCACTAAGTCCGGTTTTGTTCGGCCTCTGCAGATGCTTTCTCCAGCTTCTTTAGGCGATCAGTCGTTCGCCGCAGCTCCTCCTGGCAGGCTGGCACGGTGTTGCCACAAACGCTGGCGGCTTTCCTTCGCTGGTCTTCAGATACCACGGTAGCTCTGTCGCCATGCTGGGGTATTCATGGCAAGGCAATACGAACAAGAACTCTTCAGCTGTTCTGAGACCACGAGTCAGCCCTGCAAACTCGCAAACAGCCGAAGAAGCCTCCAGCATTTCCGTTTGCAAGCGGTACTGCTCGGAGACCTCGGCTTTGCGTGAAGAGCCGATGCGCACCCCATCCATCAGGATCAATGGACCATGGATCAGTATAGGATCATATCCACTGCTATTACTATCCATTTCTGCCTAGCAGGTCCCACCTGCCGCTGCTGCTCCAGCTCCGAGCGCAGCAACTTGACCTCAGCGTACTTGTACTGAAAGGTCCCATGCCAGGCTGACCGCAACGGCGGGACATGCTGACATGCCCTGTTAGCATAACAAGCACCGAACGGTGTCTTGTGAGCGGCGCAGCTCACGGCTTTTGTCGCCAACCTGCTGCCGAATTCCCGATGGTGCAGCAGGTCCAGGCAGAAATCTTATTCATTGATAGCACATGCGGCCTCCTGGTGCAACATGTCGAGTTGCATTTGTTGGGCCTGTGGGCCGGCAAGCATCTAGCATTAGCCATGACATTAGACATGCCGAGCACCACCTCACAGGTGTCGACAGTAGCCGAGTGTGCTGATGCTGAGCCTTCCGAAAACACACCCGTGTCTGGCAGGTGCTATGAAGGGATGGCACTGGCACTCTACTGCCGTTCTAAACTCTACATAGCCACGCATGCTGCTCCTGCTGCTGCATCAGCATCCGTTTGTGCCTCGCCCGAGACTTTCATGCATCATATATAGCATTGCTCATGACGCAGTATCTCAAGCGGTGCCAAGTTGTGCCAGTGTCTCGCCTCTGCTTCCACCAGCTGCTTTGTTGGGCATCTTAGGGCGGCGATCTCGCTGCCTGAAGAGCCATAACTAGCTATCCAAGGTTGTCGCGTGAGCCTGGCCGTGCAACAGGATGTTTGTCTGCTAAGGATCCAACGCTGGAGATCGTTCTGCTCCTTCAAGCTGCTCACCATGCCTGCGCAGTTCAAGGGTGGCGTGCCCTGCCATTCGCATTGTCTCCAATGGCCTCTCAAGAGGACCTCCTCCGGTGTCTCTGCTGCCTCATGGAAGCATGAACCACTCGAGGATGGGTGGGATGCGGCTAATAAAGGAGTAGCAAAGAAGCTTTTGTCAGCTGCTTGCTGCGATGCTGGCACGGCCCATAAAGCTCAGACATCTTGTCCGGCACTTGTTGAAACCCTTGCAGGACAAGGGTTCTATGTACAACTCCAACTTCAATCCTCGGAAGATGCGTGGCTCAAACTCGAACCTGACTCTTCTTGATGTCAGGCAAACGCAGGACAGATCTTTAAGACTCACACCTGCAATTACATACGCACGGCTGGTTACCAGCCATCGAGCCGAGCCAAGAGCACCCAATGCTACTATAAAGAGGGCAAAGATCTCCGCCGATCTTGGCTTCCCTTAAGGACAGCCTCAATGGCGAAAGCGAGGTCCCTGTCCTTGGCTTGAGTCATCTGTCATGCTTGCTTGCTGCGTGCTCCCTGGCCGAAAGGCCCACCCCCTCGGCTCGCGTCTGCAGTTCGGCCCTCCGTTTTGAGGGATCTGTCTTCAGAGCAGGACACTCCCGCATCCACATCGATCTCTTCGTCTTCTCCAGGGCTTGCAGGACTGGTCAGGCCCCATGGCCACCCGACCCCCCCCCCCTGTTGGGCTTGCGCTGATTGCTGAGACTCTTCAGCTGTAGGACATCTTTATGTAAGAAAAATAGCGACATGAAGTCAGGTCTCAACTTGTAGACACATGTGCGAAACGTAAGTGTTCAAGAAAGAACCAAAGCAAGATAGGACCTAACTCCTTCGAGAAGAGTTATCCCCACGTCGGTCATTAGAAGCAAAAGCTGGCGGTGACAACATGATCAACCTTTCACCGTTCACTCCCCATGCAGTTGGACTATTTGTACCACGTGCGGCCCCCCATCTGGCACAGAAGAGGTACAGCATGCTGAGGATTGTAAAGGAGATGCCCTGGCATGATAAATTTGCGTGATCTTCACAGGCTAGCAACTCATCATTCAACAAAATGCACCCAACCTACAGCAGCCCTGTACACCCATAACTTCCCTCGATGCACATTGAAATCTGTGTGTGGGAAACCCAAACTACAAGGGGACTAGAGGAAATCAAGTGAAGTGCCTCAGCATGCCGAGATGAGAAGAGAGCAGGCGGTGCCCATGAAACCGGTACTAACAAAGACGCTCATCAGATGCCTGTGAAGCAGTGCGGGAGCCTATTGAGAACTTCCATTCAGAGAAGTGAATCCAGGTGCCGAGCCGAGCGTCCGTCTGGTTCCAGAGCTTGTTCTCGAGGTTGGGGTCCAGATCTTCGGTCAGGATCTTCATTGCCTTTGCCGCCAAGCTCAGCGCCTGCAGGGGCTGCCACCCAACTCCAAGCGCTTCTTTTTGGGCCCTCTGAACACCCGCATCTTCCAGGAAGTGTGCAGGGCGGTCATGCTGCACCTGTTTCATGGCCATTTCCTCACCACCCGTGCCATCGATGTCGCCAAGGAAGAGAGACGGACCATACCTCTTCAGAGTGCATCGTACATTTTGTACAGCCAAGGCCAAGGCCAAAGACGCAAAGAGAAGGCACGCTCCGTGCCTGGAGGCGAGCACTCCCAGCATCTCCAGCAGCTCAAAGGCTGCCCAACTCACACGCAAGCCGCAGGAGCCAGCCTCGGCCCACCACAACTCAAAGATGTTAGCCATGCTGAAGTGCTCTGCTTGCACATCTTTCCAGCACCGCATGCTGAAATACATCGTTAAACACTGTTGGCCACAAAGCCACAAAATCTAGATCCAAGCGCCAAAGGGTGAGGTTGCAAAGCAATTCGCTGTTTATGAATCAACCAGTTAACCTTCCTACCAGTAGTATGCTGGGCCAGAAAAAAGGGCTGATCCTCTCGCCTTGGCTTGCAATTCCCTGGCCACGACAAAATGTGGACTGTGACAAGACCGGGAACTGTGGGGGTAGCAGCCGCTGTAGTTGGCGGCGGGCATGTCACCTTCAGGCCGGCGGCACAGGCTTTCACAGAAACCGGACTTTAGCAACTGCTCTTTACTTTGCCCTACAGTTGGTGAACCGCCGCCTGAATAACATCAATTCGTGCTGCAAAATCCGGATCTGACTGGCTTTGGTCTGACAGATTCATTACTTCCGCGATGGAGTCCAAGAACAACAGCACGTCATAGCCTGCTGTCCATCGAACCAGAAGCCCAGCAGCACAAAGCAGGCACTCGCATGCTGTCGCCAAGCTAAGTCAAGGCTCGGGCCTCAACCCTCCAATCAACAATATGCATGCTCACCCCAAGACAATACTTGCCCTTCAAGATGCCCTCAACATTCCGTGCCTATACCAACCTTGCGGAAGAAGGTGTCTAACTCAGAGCCATCAAACTCCTCTGCCGTCATGGGGATGACTGGCGACATGTACATCGGCAGGTCTTTGAGGCCATCCTCAGGGATGCTCAGGGGACCGTTGACACCAGCGCCGCAACATGACTGAACTGGGGATGAGGGCACAGCTGGAAATCTACGCGACTTACTTCAAGTTGGTGACGTTCGCGACCTTTCGGTTTCAGCATGCAGCCAGGAGGGCTTCGTGCTTCCGAGAGACCGTCTCCAGCTTGCAGATCTGCAGGTGTTCATGGCATGCTCTGACCACGGCGGAGCAGGCGCCGTCAACAGGAGGTGCGTCCAATGGCCCGGCCACGAGCTTCAGCACGCACTTCTCACCCCGGGCCAGTGCGGCAAACAAGTTTGCCTTGAGCTCGTGAAGCCTGGGTCAGAAGACATGCCATGCGTGCGAATAGAACTTTCCAGCTCATGCAGGAGCAGTCAACGAAGGCTAGGAACGACACCCCAGGTCTCAGACAGGGATTGAGCGTGTTTGTCTACGTCGCATCGACGGCCCTGCAGTGTTCTAAGATTCCAAGGCATGTCTAGCCTCCCGGGTGGACGTCTCAGACGACAACTGCGAGGGAGAGTTAATCTGCGGGTTTTTGTGCCGCTTGGTTTTCGCAGCCAGTGCGATGTCGGAATTAGGCTTTCAGCCGGGAGACAAGGACCGCAAGCACCAAAGTCCCAGAATGTCTTCTTTATTCAGCTCTGACATTCCCACCGGAATCCCATGGGCGGGAACATGCAAAGCGCGCGGTGTCTTACACCGGATTAAACAAGCCCTGCGTTGCAAAAGAGTTGCTGCATGCTCCTCTGCTGATTCTGTCTGGTTGCATATTGTTGCTCTGTGCCGGCTATGCAGCCAAGCGGTTCTCTCGTCAGCCTTGATCCTCAGCATGAACCTTCAACTGCTCCTGGTCGCCAGCGATTTCGAGATCCAAATGGCTGAGCGAACAGAAACCACTTGTAGCACATTCTGTCAGGATTCTCGCGCTAGTAGTTCGGACACCGGAACTGTGTCAACACTTCCACAACTGCAACTTGCAAGTCACACGTGCAGATGGCACTAACCAATACACTAAGCGCACCATCAAGACGTGTGATGCACAAGACTTCTAGTGCAAGGAGGATGCAGAAACCTCTTCTGCTTCTGGCCTCCTCTTCTCTCGGTGCTGGTTTTGACCGAGAAAAGAAACCTGACAAATGCTGCATTGGATCTCGGCCAGGATCCCGCTGTAACATGCTGTAAGTGCATGCAGGCGCACAAGACGCATAAGCCACAGCCTCCACCAGGCCGGGGACGCCTCTTGCCTGCACACATCGGGCGACGCCGTCGGACACGAGGCGAGTCAGACAAAGCCCACCTGCGCAGCTCGTCCTTGGCGGAACAACCTTCAGCCATCTTGAGGCCAAGCTAAGCTGGCACTGAGTCCAGCATCTTCGGGAAAGCTTGGCTTGAGCGTCCAGCCTTCATCTGAAAGTCGGCGGGGCACCTGCATGCCAGTCGCCGGGGCAGGGTTGCTGCTCAGTTGAGCTCGAAAATCAGAGTCTTGAAATCTCAAAGCATGGGACCATCCGACAATGGTACCGGCAACTCCCAGATTCCCTAACTCATCAACACTGGTGCAAAGAAGACAGGCCGGGGTCGGACACGCCCGTGAAGCACAGTGTCGCCTGCGAGCTAGTTGCACCAGACACGCGGACGTGAAGCATACGGCTAGGCATCGATGTGCCATCGGACCGTGCTAGCGTAGCACAGTGACGGGCTAGACTCGTACTCATGCCCATGCACATGCGACATAGTTGGGTTTTCTTCTGCCCTCAACTTGCCTTCGAGAAAGGTGGTGTATACTGACTGCCCACCCTCTCTCGCTTTCTGGATATACAGTCAGTATGTCCTTTCGGTTCTTTCACATGCCTGGTCCGAGTAGCATGTATGCCTGGGCACCGTGCAGTCTTAAGTTCAACGCAAGCACGGCCGCGGTTGTCTCTCGAAAAGGGGAGAGCCTCCTATCGCCTCTCTAATCGTCTGCTCTGAAGTTGCCCTGCCCGCTACTAACTCTCTTTCCCTCTCTCGCTTGCCTCATCGCCCATAGTGTGCGAAGAGGCTCCGGGTGTGCAAACACATCACAAACGAGGCACCGGCATGTCAACCGGCTCCCACTTTCTTGCTATCCTTACTTCGGACCGAGCACAAGTACTCAGATCTGGCAGCTCTCGGACTCTAAGTTGCTTGGCTCGACGTGCTGCGGCTGTCAGGTGCACTGTGCCGTGAAGATGGTGCGTGTCGTGGCCATCGCATGCTTATTGTACAAGGACCTGCTGAACTGAACATTTGAGGACGGGGGCAGTACCAGCAGCTGAAGCAGTCAGAAGCAGGGGATTTCGCAGAGTGTCCTCTTCAAGAAAGCCTGTTTTCCCCACCATCCTGTCTCGCCCTAACACCCCTTTGGGTCAAGCTGACGGAAGGGATTCCCGAGTCGTCTACCGGCTGCCCCTACAACTGTGAAAGTCCAAATGCACTGCGCCATGCACTCCAGGAATCCTGTTTACGCCGCACATCACACTCCCAAGCTGCATTTTCACGGACCCTTGTCAAGCAAGTGTACAGAAGGGCGATGACGTCGCAATCATCGAATTGCACGGGATACTTTGTCGTCTTGCAGGAATCTGGACTCACGCCCTCTTCTGCCATTGACGTTTGGAGCAGGCCATGCCTTCTTAAGCTGGAGGAGGCATCCAGTATCCTGCAGCTTGGCAATTCCATTCCATCAAGATCCGTCGTGTGGCGAATCTCGAGACCCCCTCCCCCTCTCTGGTGGAGGAGGAAGCAGCTCCGTGTGTTAACATGCAGCTGTCGTCAACCGTTTTACACAACTCCCCGAGCATAAGTGTACGGTGCCGAGGTCAGGAGACTTAAGACGTCGGCACCAATACTGTACCTGAGAATCATCTCAGAGATTTCGTGTGGAGCGACACAGGCCCGGACAGGCAATCAGATTGTCACGCCCTTTTTCCCAGTCGCCATGCAGTAACTTTCAACAGATTCCCATGGACGGTAGCTGCGCTCCGCGGACCCCGCCGTCCTGCAGCAGTGTACAAACAGACCCTTTTCGCGGCAAACTAGACGATCAGAGATGCGAGACTGCCTAGGTGAAAGCCAAGCCTGCAAACCATGGAAACCCCTTTAACAGACCACTCTCTCAAAGCAGATCAGCCTGTGCAGAGAAGCTTCTTTTGCGTGCTGCAAGGGCACTAGTGAGCCACCACCTGAAGGTAGGAATCCAGCCAAGCAGAGAAAGGCTGATCAATACCTTGCCCCGTCTTGTTTGACACTGCAAAGTACTGATAGTTCTTATCCCTCGCGAACTGGAGGATCTCTTCTTCTGTCACTGCCGGATTGGGACTGTCTGCGTGTGTTCCGACCAGGCAGATGCAGCGGCACGCTTCGCGATTGTTTTCCTCTGCAGCCTCGAGAAGCTCAAAAAGATCCTGCAGCGACTGGTGATTGCAGAGAGAGAACACGGCGAGGAAGCCACATGCACCACGCATATAGCTCTTCGCAATGGGTCGGAATCGGGGTTGTCCTGCGGTGTCCCACAGCTGCACTTTCAACTTGATTCCGTCCTCGGATTTCCGGTGGACAATCTTGAAGTCGATGCCGATCGTAGGTTGGATGTCGTCTAAGAATGCCTCACTGCACAGTGCACGCAGCAGTGCTGTCTTTCCCACGCCTGCCCCGCCCAAGATGACACACTTTGCGACGTGGTCATGCTGCGCTTCTCCAGTGCCGACAGGCTTCCATTCTGTGTATGTGCCTGTGGTTCTCCTCAGAAGGTACAGGCAATCCTGAGCGGTGAGGTTCAAGTCCGCAAGCCTTGAATCTCGTTTCAGCACATCGGTCCCAAGAAGCAAAGACATTCTTCCTGCTGCCTCGCTCTGGGAGCCCAGGCGCAGCAACAAAGCACCGACCGTCATTCTGCCAGGAAGTGACTCGTTCAAGACGACTTCACCAGACGGGTAGAGAACTCGAATATCCACAACCTGCTGACCTTCGTCTGCCCCCTCGTCTGCCCGAATACCGAGTTCCACAGCATATGCCAGCAGCTGCTGGAGGTGCTCCAACGAAGCCGTCTCCGCAATTTGCTTCAGTTGTTCACGCGCTCCCGCCATGGACGCCCCCGGACGGCAGCGGCAAAAGGACCATTCCTAAAAACAACAGAAGTTGTTGGAAGATGCTCGACTCAACTGTCAGATTAAAGCTACTTGAAAAGCATGAACTTGCTTGATCCGACTTGGTGATTCGGTTTGAGCCCTGCTGTCCTGCTGTTCTATGACCGCCAATGCTGCAACGTCCGAACTTTGGTAAGGCTATCGGACCTCGAAGTTCTGAATGAAGACCAGTGATTGACCACCAAGTGGACTTGTGACGAAATCGCTTTGAGTGATCCTATCCCTCAATCTCGTCCTCCAGTGCTCCCACGACGAAGTGTTGAACTACTTCCAGCAGAGGGCCACCTGACATTGAGCAGCCGCAACACTCATCTGCGCAGTCGCATGATGCTTTGCCAAAGCATGTTGAAATTCTCTTGTTCTGACTCGCCGCTTGTCTACACTTGCCACGGCATAGCTTTGAGACGCCTCTAGCCTCTAACATTCATTGAAGCTGGCTGTGCTATGCCAGTGCGTGCTGTACAAGCACTGGGAGGCAATATACAAAAGATGTCTACGGTGCAAGAGCAGGGGCCGCATTCAGCCTGGCAAAGCCGCGAGCCACTTCACAAGCTCCTCCGTGAACTTGCTGGGAGCATCCTGGACCTGCCAATGATCGGATCGAGCTCTTAGATCTTCAGGCAAAGATGAGCGTGGGACTGTGGCGAGAGCAGGGTTTTCCACGCGGTGGCGGAAGGGGGGGGCAGATTCGTCAGGTTCGGGAGCTCCGAACTATTGCTGGGGGGGGGGGGGGGGGNNGGGGGGTTGAGAATTTACGCAATCAACCCAGTGGACCGGATTACAGGCGATTCATGCGAACATGTGTAGCCTTGTATGAGCGAGCATGTCCTTTTGTCTGCTGCTGGTGTTTTTCTGTACACACACATGCAGGTGTCATGCCAACATAGATCCCGAAGTAGAGAAAGAGCACCTCGACGACCATGGCAACTACGACCACTAGGACCACTCTGACGACCATTACGACCACGACCACTGGAGACCATCAGGAGACCTCCCGAAACCAGCAGACCAGGAAACCACCCAAAGACGACCAGGAAACTCCAGAGACCACCAACCCGGACACTGCCAAACTGCGACTGGTGCGATTCGGAGCTTTCAATGCCAAAACGTAGGTGAGGAGATGTTGGAATTTACGATGGATCGGGCTCTCCCACGGATCCTGTGTAAAATGGTGTAAATAAACAATTCGACAGGAGTTCAAAATATGCCTCGCAGACACGCTGTTATTATCTTTGCTTCATGATTTGTCATGCACTGTTCGAGGACTCGTGTTACGCAACGGCAAGAGACTCACACACACACACACACAAAAAAAAAAACAAAAAGCATTTGCATACGCATTTTCTGCCATCTGATGTACGGGTCTAAACAGTCATATCGTTCTTTGATATTGATCCACCGGCATGGTAACCCCTCGCATTGCGTGCCTTCCGGGCCTTCCAATTCCCGTATGGAACTGTTGCCACATAGAATAATCTATGGTCAAGGAAGAACCGGGTGAAACAAACGATCTGTTGCTTACCTTGAAAATCGAACTTTTGATGATTGCCTGCACAATTCCCGCGTCATCTTCAGTGTTCCATGTCAAAGAACTGAGATTGAAGTGATACGTGTAAAGATCAAACGAAGCGATGTGTGTTCGCGCATGTTGGTTGCCTAGGCCTGAGGGTCTGAACATTGGAGCAGGTGGTATGGGAGTTTTTGGGCAACATCAGGCAAATATCTGCATCTCCCAACCGGGCCGACCCCTGCCTTGTCGACGACAACGAGTGTAGCGCTTTGGCCGAAGATCTCCTTCACGGCTTCAGCTGAGCTCATTGGGTGGATCGGATCGTCGCGCGCATTCACGACTAGCACCTGAGAAGGTGAAGTGCCAACACACGACACTTCAATACGTGTTCACAAGAGACTGAAAAGACAGCAGCCGGAACCATGTGCTGGCAAACATCTGAAGCTTTTCAATGCTTCAAGTAAGTGCAGCTGTGGTGCAGGGACCCCGGTCTCAGCGAGTCTTTGCATGTCGTCCCGAGGGGGGAAGTCAGCTCTGGCGGCACCGAGCATGACATCGTACTTGACGGGATCGGTCTCGCGAACCGAGGCCGCCTTTGCTTCCAGCACACCTCGCCTGGCCTGTCTTCCGGCCCACATAGTAGGAACAAGGTATAGAACCAGTCCACGAATCTTTCTCGGAGAAAGGAGAGCTGCCCAAACAGCAGCTGCTGCACCCATGCTGCATCCTCCGAAAATGTAGCTTGGATCCCACGGCTGTTCAGTGTGTGCTGCGGCGACATGAAGCATGTCCGCACCCAAGCAGCGCCAATGAAATTGATGTGGCCCTCCTCTTTCCCAACCAGTGCTTGTGCCATGACCTCGAGCATCAAAGAGGACGATCCGAGGCCTTGCGCTGTTCTCTGGCATTGCCTGTAGCACCTGCAGGTACCCAGCACTTGGGCCGAGGGTTGGTCAAGGGGCGAACCGCGGGCCTTCTGCATGTTCGTAGACTTCGCTGTTTCATCGTAGTCGCTCATCCTGGATTGGACTCAGGCTTCTCGAGTGAATGCTCGCGAGGAAAGCACAGCAGGCGTCCTCTCACCCAGCCCATGGAGGAAGGTGAACACCGTAGGCCGAGATGCAGACCCAAGGCCCTCCTCGCACTGGGAAAGTCTTAGTCTCAGCCAGCCCTGCAGCAAACTAAGATCGAGATATTTATTCTCGCACCCACCCCGCCCACAGGACATGTATATATGTTGTATGCTTACTTACGCACGAGTCTGATGCAGTGATGATTCCACGATGTGATTGACATCCGTGCAGCCCTGCGATGCATCCTCAACGGTGAAGAGTTTGCTGGGAAGGACGGTGCCATCCACGGCATGCACGTTGCGCTCGTGCGGGCCAGCGACCGGCTCGGACTCAGCAGCGCCCATCGCTCCAAGCACCGCTTGCCTACAATGACCTTATGCCGTTGCGCTGCTTCGCATACCAATCCCGGCAAAATGAATAAGCTTGCGAGTCCGCACCTTCCCCACTTCTGCCCACTTCCTACTAGAGCTGCTGTAGAACGAGCCCTGGCGACCCCTCAACAAATTCGTGAACGGCAGCATGAAGCAGCTACACTTATCCATCTTGAACCTGTAGTCCAGCTGCAAAGCCATCAGTTCCAACAGAAGAACACCTGCATGTGTCGTCACGGACGGTTCGGGATAAGTACCAAAGCATTTTGGTTCTCACACTCTCGGGAGGCAGGCAAAAACATTTTACACAAACGGTCTCCTGACGTAGCGAGCTATTTCGCGAATAGTACCAGCTGATCCTGCTTAAGGCTTAAGCGCTTCTAGTAGGGCAAGCTTCCTAAGCAGTGACTGCTTGGGGGGGGGGGTTGCTTGTGTTAGACAATGCAGCCTGTATCTTCGACCGGCTCTTCTGACAACAGACAAAATGCAGCACAGCGCATGTAGCGTAGCAAAGCAGACACATCATCGTGACAAGCCTCTTTCCTGATCACGGTGGGCAATTCGTCGGCAGCCTGGGGGTTTGGCGGGGGTTCCGGGCGACGTGACTAGAGAGGAGAAAAGCTGTGTTATGGCAGCCCGTAAACTCAGCTAGCAGCAAGCATTGGCAAGACCCTGCGGGTTGAAGCAGCCCCTCCGCAAAGAATGCTTCAAGCGCAGCCTCCGAACCCGCGCACAGAGGGATGATCCGAATGATGACGAATGCGAGTCATGGGCGAGATGCAGTGCCACCTGATGCATCAAGACATGGTACATGTAGCAATTAAACTGCCAATGATGAAACTGTTCGCAAGATCTCGCAGCCTTGTCAGTGTAGAGCGCGACGTGTACCCTTTCCAGTGCCTGTACGACAGCCTGTCCTCTCGCCGGGATGAAGAATCGGGCAAGACCTCATCCCTGAGAGGACAGGCTGGCGTACACTCGTCGGGATTTTACATCCCTTGCATGAACATGTTGTTCAAGCTGCCGGTGTCCTTCTGCAGCGAGGCTTTCCGCGACCGCCAGCTCCGATACAGTCAACCCCAAGCCAGCTATCCCGGCCGTCACCATCTATGGGTCCATGAACTCGCGACATGCTCTGAACGTGACGTCTCGGCAGCCACCACTCTCGCCGCCCATTGCAGCTGCAATGCATCATGGCTGTTGCGATGACCCGACAAACATCGCTTCTAAAAGCAATAGTCTGACTGGGCGGTGATGATGTGATGTCTCCGCTACGAGTAGGGGCGAGTCTGCTACATCAGCATTAACGGTGTTCTATATTTCTGCAGTCTTACGAAGTTCCTCGCCCACCTGCTGAAGCATGCGTGTGATATGCGTTTGACTTAGGTACTTATACGGTTAGGTGACTAGGAAATGGAAGCGTACATCCAGCAAGCATGGCGACGAGGCCTGAATGGCTTCTGGTTCAGGAGACATATGAGTGATGCTTGAACATGAACCGCGACATGTGCAGACAGTGCCACCGACCAGAGTTGCAAACAGAATGACAGTATAACTGTAGGAAATGTAGGCAGCGGTAGTGCAACAGAACCGGGATCCGGGTTTGAGAAAGAACAGGGGAAATGCTGTTGATTCTTCCCGGAAATCCTACTCCTACACAACCCTAAATGCAATGTTCAACCTCCGCATTGCTAGTGATGGCCACTTTGCGACTTGGTTTGTCGTTTAGGTCCGAACTGTCACCGTGTTTCCTGAAGGTTGCATTACAGTAGACTGGCGTTTCTGTCCTGACTGCCTGAACCCAAGTCTGAGCTGGTGCGAATTTGTTCGACACCCTGACACAGATTCTGCAGCACCCGTGGTACATGTTTAGGTCACTGAGTGTCGACAGCCATCCCCCATGAACCCCGCAAATGTGTTGCAAGTCTGGCACTGACATCGGAAAGTCGGGTTTAGTCGGCCTACACAGGCCGTCGCCGTATTGAAAGTCAGACAAAGATCGTACCTCTGAAAGTACCGGCCGCCAGACATCATCGGAACCTCGGCCAGCGATGACAAGGATTGACATCTGCTGCTGTCAAGATCACAGCATATCACAGCTGGGCGAGCTTGCAGCGTGTAGGCGCCACCATAATCTGTAGGCCTCGATAGTCTCAGAAAGCGGTTGATCGCGACGTGTGCGCTCGCTGTCTTACCGTAATTTTCCTACGAGAATCTTCTGCGGTGAAAGATTGGTGTTTAAGTTCAAATGTGCTGAGAAACAGGCCCCGGGGAGGTCTCTCGGGTCTCTTGTGGGCGACCACACATGGAGTAGCCCTGCAAGCGGGCAGAAAAGTGCAGGAATTGGAACTCAGCACACTGTCTCATCGAGCCCGGTGCTGGAGTTCGCTTGATGTTGCCACGAGTCGCGGTCAGAGTGTCGTAGCAGGCAGGGCCAGGGGTCCCTGCCAATTCATGCTCTGCCTCACATGCTGTTACTACTTAGATGCTGACTGAAGCGTTCTGGTTCGCGCAAGCCATGATGGAAATGTGCAGGGGGCACGGGTCTTTGACGCTGCCGCCATAATGCTCGGCCTGGCTCAGATCTGAAGAGCCACAGCCACATAAAAGCACTGACCAGGCCTCGGGTTTGTGTTCGGAAAGCGATGCCCCTTGGGCCGGCCTCCCAGAGGTTCTTGGCTCTTGGCCTACTCGTCGCGACCAAAGGCGCTCCAAGGCTCCAAGGTTCGGGCTCTTTGCAGGTGGGTCGTACCTGGCGCCATATGCGGCGCACCAGGGTTGGGCAGGCCCAAGTTTGCCGTCTAAGCCGAGCACTCCCCAGGTCCCGGTGATGCAGTTCTCTCCGGAGGAGCGAATCGCTGTGATGCGGCGAACCTCTGTTTCTTCACTTCCCCCAACCTGCTTGTGGGAGAACTTCGAAAATTGAAAATGCAGGGCTGAATTTCTGAGAACCCCACTTTGCGCCAGCAGCTCGTGCGAGCGAGGGCTTCCGGGAGTCGTAGGTTCCAGGCCTCATGTAGAACTGAAGCATTTGCTGCATCACGCGCTGTTTTGACAACCCCTTAGACCATGCAAGGCTACGTGTTGTGCTCAAGGATCCAGCCCCACTTCCGAGGGCGTTCCACCGTGCCTGCAGCGCTACAGTGTAGCAGATCCAGGAACGAGAAAGAGGCCATGCTCACTTCCGAGTGCCCAGCTGGACATTCTTCGTGCTGCTTACAGACGCATTGGGAGAGAGGCTCCGAGGGCCTTTGCCAGGCGGATTGCATCATGTCGCACTAGAATGGGCTCTGGATTTCTGGCCCTCCATGCTGTGCTCTTCACCGAAAAAGTTCTCTGATACTCAGCTCGAAGCTGGAAACGATTTTCCTTGCCTCGCGACATCACAGGAACACTTTGTCGAGGGAACGGCGATGCTGTCCCGCTAGGCAGCAGGCTGTGGAAGAGCCGAAACCTCTCAAGCAGCTTTGCACGACACATCGGCTTCACATCACTCTCCCCGGGGTGACCGAAGGTATGCTGTGTTCTTATAGAAGGCTGATGAAGGCTTCCAGCCTGGCATCTCCATGCCGTTGCCACTCTGGGGTCGACCTGCTTCAACGCACAGCATTGTAAAGATACCGCTTGTCTGTGTTAAGGAGTCCGTGCAAGTCTGAAAGTGCCGAAGCTGGATTAAAGGGCTGTGCACCTGTGGCGAGTTGCTGAACATGCCTCAGCAGCAATCAGAAAAGCCACTGGAACAGACTGCAGAGGAGAATCTTAACCTGCAGGGCCATTGAAACACCTCCGCAATAAAGTCAAAATGGAAATCTCGGACATTGACAGTGGCGGGCAGGGACGCAGTAAGCTTTTTCATTCTCAGGACGCACCCTTAGCTGAGGCACCTCTGCCCTAGCCACTACTACGGCACGGCGCGGCTCTAAGCATGAGTATGACTTGTATGATCTTTCAGTGTTTTGAGTCTTGCTTGCTTGGTGTAACTTTTTTTTGCTGGCCCCTGCGTGCAGACTTTCAACCAACGTGAATTCCTGCCGCATACGCTTTGAAAAGATCGCCGATCTCCTGCCACGACTCCAACAGGTTCTGAACTGTCAGCGACATCGGGACTGTCACACTATATGCATAACTGCACAACCTCATACCAGCTGCGGCTCACAGCTGTCGGGTTCAGGCTCGAAAATTGCCCCCACCCGTCCTGAACTCGCCGTTCGCGCTCCTTTCCTTGCAAAGCGATTAAATCACACCTGACACTGCCCAGTCCAGCTACCGAGACTCATGGACGCAGCACAGCAAACAAATTTCCAAGGGTCCGTTCATCTTCTGAAGCTTGCCTTCTCTGGCAGCCATGAGCTGCGCCTCGTATGGCAGGTCAGCTACAAGGACATCTTGACGCCAACTTGACATATGCATTCCAGATGTGCCAGCGGCCCATGACACCTATTTGTCAAATGGCAGCAACACCAAGCATCGGACTCTCGACGGCGGCTCCCGGACAGTTGGCTTTGGTGGGTTGTCTCCCGAAGGCCTTCGCCGCAGACCAAGCACTCTGCCAAGAGACATCCTTCAAGACCGAAACCACTGCTGTCAAGGCACTCGTAACGGAAACCTGAAAACGTTCTGCACCCAAGCACAACTGCAATAGAGATCGCTTTGGCAGCAGATTGAACCAAGGCTTCTAGATGTACCCATGTAGAGTGAGTTCAGGACTCCAGGACATCTGGAGCAGAAAATGTACGTGAAGTGCCGACGAGTTTCAGTAAACCATGTCTCTCTGAGCCCTTTGGGACCGGTAGATCTCGCCGTCATCGGGTCGCCTCACGATTCGTCACGAGCTCTGGCCCTGACTCTTTCTTCGCTGCCCTTCCGAGGCCAAGTGCCGTCCCTTGTCGCGACGATCGCCGTAGGAACGGCGATAGTTTCTGAGCCTGAAACCATCAAAAGGAGAGAGGTTTTTCCTCCTTGTTGCGACTGGTCCATGTCGAGAAGCTGCCACTCCAGGAATGGAAAGGTCTCCACGTGGATGAACTCGCTGTTCTGCCTGCAGGGTCTGGCTTGGAAGGAGCACTCTCCGAAAGGCGGCCGAGGCGGCCGAGGCACGCTCCCAAGACAATGTCAGAATATCGCACGCCGGTCGCGTTGCAGTTCGAGGCCACCTCCAGGGAGTCACAAAGGCCATGCTACGCTGTCAGATGACCTATGATACGTTGCACGGGGCCTTGACAACTCCACCTTTTTTCACGAAGCCCCGCAAAGCCCGGAAGAACAAATGCCTGGAGCGTCGTACGACGTGTGCAGTCAGGAACTGAGAGCCCTTTCAATGGACGTAAGCGCGTCGACTTCAGCTGATAAGGTCCAACAAGCATGCTGACAAGTTTCATGAGGTTTTCATGGCGCCAACCTCAAGTCAAGATGAACCAGAGGAAGTTGCAACAGACTGCGTGGCTGCACAATGCTGCAGCCCGCGTTCCGACATAAGCACTGCACGGACAAACGGATGACCGTCAAAAAAACCTTGTATGGCACCTGCGGGACACATGCATGCCATATCATGCGGCATGCAATGCTTCATGCCACAGGTCCTCTCCTGTCCAGACCCTGGCCTGCATGTGGAAAATTGTAATACACGGCCCCAAACTTCTTCTCCATGCCCTGGAAGCGAGGATCCACTGCGAGCCTGTCAGGTCCACTTCCGAGCTTTGAGCTGCTCGGCAGGGACGAATCAGCTGAAGCGAAAATCATGCATTGGGGCTCGAAGACTCTCAGCACCTCGTGGCATCCACATTGTGAAGCACCTCAGACCTTATGATGTGAAGCGGTGCAAAGAAGCTTGGGGAGACAGGTGCAGTCAAACATATGTTGGGAGGGCGCAAAGAGAGCTAGGTGTGCTGCATCTTGTCTTCCAGGGCCTTCACTGTCTGATCGATCTCCGAATATCGCCTGATAGCACACACTCACTTTCTTTGCTTGCGCACGTAATCGGGTTGAGTTGAAGACTATGCTGAGCACAGCTGCTATTGAACTGCTATTGCTCTCTCCATGCCGCGCAAGTCTCTCTCGCAGGATTTCGATAGTCTCAAACGTGGTGGCAACCACGCGCCCCACGTGCCCGAGGCCTCCGCTGCAGTCGACACTTCTTCAGCTTCCAGGATTTCCAGTGCGAAAGAATGTCATGGACTTTTGACACATTGCTCATGCGGCTCCACGAGTCTCCTTCCCGGTGCTCCGCGAGCAAGGCGGAAAAGGTAAGGTTGGCATCGCCTGCAAGGCAGATTCACTAGCCGCTAGAGGATGTGCAGGCTATCACACGGTTGCACATGGCTGCGTCGCATCTGAGGCAATTGCCGAGGACTAGCGCATCTGCCATGGAGTCGATCAGCTCCAATCTGTTGAACCTACACGATTGACTGTGTCATAACTATCAGGTCTGTTAACGCAGACAAAGCACGCACGCATGCATCACACACACATACACACACACACACACACACACACACACTTGGGCATTCAGAAATCCGGCCGCAGCCATATTATTGACATTAGATCGTCTGTATAAAGCCAGGCTCTATAAATCAGACCAGATAAAGGCCTGAACATGCCTGAACCTCACCCGATTGTGGTTGCCAGGTTCGTGGCTTGGGCTAAGCCTGGTTGCCATGGCACTACATCACAGGTACGCAATGAGGGCATCCCAGGCTGTGTCAGCACGTGTTGAACAGCCTCTTTTGTTAGATGCCCACTTTTGAGATGTGGGGTATGCCCCTGCTTAATCGAAAACCTTTGTTGACAAGGTGCGACACACACGCAGAGACACACACACACACACAATCTCGTGACCTGCTGAGCGTAAAGAGCCCAGGATTATCGGGCAGGGCATCCTGCAGCAAGAGCAAGATGAAGCAAGGGTCGCATGAAGACGAGACCAGGCTTGAGTCTCTCCTCCGTCTTTTCGCTTTCCTCGACCACCTGGGCAGCCGCTTCGTCCAGCAGTTCCAGGATCGGCCGCTTGCCATCGTACTCCTGCATCACGTATCCTCGGCCAATGCAGCACACTTCACTGCTTCACCGCATGTGCCAAGGCGTGACACGGCAGCATCAATCCGAGCTTCTGAGGCTTTTGTGGCTTGCCGACCGCAGGCGCGACAGATCTTCGGCTTGGAGGCCCCACCTGGAACTGGAACGGGCTCAGCATTCTGGGGGTCAAGAGTGACACATAGTGACACCTACTTCCCGCTTCTCCGGCCTCCGGTTCCAAGCTTCCAAAATGCTGACAGCCTCTTTGGAGCACAGCTTGTCCTCCCTTGCAAGGAGGAATTTCTCATTCACCTGCTCGGCATTGGACTTCGGGTCACGGCCATTGACTCGAGGAGGATTTGCCTGGCAACATGGTGACACACTGAGACATAGCCGGAGCAGTCAGCTCCTATGGAGGGCAGAAGGCAATGCAGCGAGGTGAACCATGGGCTTCCAAGAGGTCTTGGCAACGGCTTCGACATCCGCAATCTCGGCGGTCTGCATGACGTACCTGACAGAACGACCCTTCGCAGAGAGATGCTTTGGACATCTTGGCAATCCCAGCCTCACTGCTGGGTCCCAGTGGAGCTTCCAGCGGTCTATCAGCTCCTGCCGTGGCCCCTCCAACGGCGGCTCCTCTCGCCGCCTCTTTGCATCGGGCTCCTCTGACGGAAGGCCTCAGAGACAAAAGCTCGAGGGCTTTCTCGCATGAGCCCAGGCAAACCTGGAACAATGTGCGGGCTTGCGAAAGACACAAGCAGCAAGGATCCGATTAGACACAAGATTACGTTACGATCACGAAAGATGCGAGAATAAATAGGGTTCTCGAAAAGCTCAGAAGCTGCCGTACGTCTTTTCCAACACCCGCTTCAAGCTCAAACTGCCTGGGCAAAGTGTCCGAATCAGTGGCTGACGCAGCACGCAGCAGCGGCTCAGGAGCTATGCGCCAACCTACAGTGTCCCGCAGCGCCTTGAACCGCTTCCCGCATGTCTTCGGGAACATCTGACAACTTCAGATCGTCTTCCCGTCCGGGCACCACCTCTTCCTCCTCGCTCTCGCCCTGTTAGACGAACAGATCGTGCAAAGCCACTAATATGTAGGCCTACGAAAGTCGGCGCCTGGGGTTCTCCGTTTTGCTCTCCGATCTCTTTTAGATCCCTCAGCTCTTCGAACTCCTCCTGCAGCTCCTGCCAGCTTGGTCATTCGACTCTGACTACCGCCCTGCCGGAGATGGAAACACTTACACCAACCCAGGCACTGGAAGTTCGTCTTCCAGGAACTCGTCATCTTCAACCACCACCTCTACATCATCGTCGTGAGATTCGAGCTTCCACTCCTCCAGTGCTGCAGCAGAGCTCAGGAAGGCCATTTCGATTTCGACTCTGTGCATGTCCTCCTCCCCGACGGACTCCTCCTCCTCGTCGAGAGCAGCCCATGGAGCAGCGTCGCTGCTGGTTGCCTGCAGCCGCCACCCACGTCGCTAAAGCTTGTGGATGCTTGCACGTGTGGCCTTTGAAAAGCCGATGTCCTCCTCTTGCACCGTCACCTCTACCTCGCCAGTGTCATTATCGAGTTCCTGCGAGCTCAGGGCCGCGCTGATCAGCCTGGACCCTGCACGGACTTGAATTTTATGCAAAGCTGGTCAGAGACTGCACTGAGCTGATCCCACTCCTCTTCCCCGACGGATTCTTTCTCGTCGTCTAAAGCAGTCCATGGGTCGAGATCAGCAGTCATCGCATTTCTACGGTCAAGGAGGTTTGGGCAAACCGTCCGAGTGTAGGTCTCCCTCCTGCGACTTACGACTTACGAGCTGTCGGAAGAGTGAAGTCTGAGTCTGCGGAGTCTACGGATCCCGAGATGCCGCTGTTATTGCGTAGTGACTTGCTTGCTGCAGAACTGCCTGTCCGACATCCTTCAGCATCAGCTCAGAAGCATGCATCTGGTTGAGCCTGGGATGACATGTCTTCTAGGATGTCCTCCTGAGTCCGAACGGCTGATAAGGTGATCAGTCAGCACAGGAGAAAACCAGCATCGGCAAGCTATAGCAGGCCGATGCACCGCCGCTCAAATCATGGTAACCACAGGTCACCACCATCATCGGCATCATCAACTGGACAATCGAGTCCTGTGTCTGAGTTCCGTGCATGGAGCCAGGTTTCGACTCGTAGTCCCCGGGCCTCTGAGCTGCCCGGCATCCAGAGCTTCCCAGAACGCCTCTGAGCCTCTGAGATCCCAGCCCCGGAGTAGACTCCGGAGCCTCGAAACGGCCCGTGGCTGTGGAGCAACCGAACGGCCACTGCTTCTGAGTAGTCGGACGCCTGCGTGCTGCGTTCGGAACACAAGCATTCCTCGTTTTGCACATGCTGAGTGCATCTGCGAAGTCTCGAATTTTCCCGCCACTCTTTGACAGAATCCAGAACAGCTGCTAGCGATGTTCGCCGGCTCCTCAGCCGCCCGTGACATTCGACTTGAAGAAGTTTAATTAGTCAGCATTCGGCACGGAGCAGTCTCTGTTTGTCGCACAGAGGGCACGCAGGCTCAAAGACAGACGGCGATGACTCCACTGATCTCCACTGCAGCCAGGCGGCTCCTCTACCGCCAAACGCTGCTCATCGCGGAGAATTCGAAGGAATCGCGAGTCAAATCGATGAGACCAACGTTGACACATATCTTCCAGCTGGTCATTTGCATGTGCTCGGAGTAGTTCTTCCTAGGTCGCACGTCGCCCTCACCAAGGACCCGCATTGAACCTCAACTCTCCCACACTCCATCCGAGGTGCTACCACCAAGACATATCTCTGCCGTACTTCCTTGGCCACGGTGGTGATGAAAACCTGCATCGTGACCTGACCTCGGGTTCAGACCAATAGGACTCAAACGGAGCTTACTCCTGCACATTTATGCCAAAGTCTCCGTTGAACGGATCCTCCAGACGAAGTCCAATCTCCTGGAATCCAAGCTTCGCAGCTTCAGGGCTGCAGGAAGTCTGAACAGTTTGCAAGCCAGTCCTGTATGCCCAGCAAGCCCCAAGATGCGATGAGCTCCTTGCCGCAGCGTCTCTGAACATGCTGCTTACAACGTCGGTAAAGGAAAAGCACTCAAGGAAAGCCAAGGGGCAATAAGCACCGTGAGCCAACCTGTCTCTGGAGCCAGGGCCAGAGGCAAGCTGAGCAGCCAAACGGCCAGAAAGCGGCCAGTGTGCCTGACCTGTCGCCACCCTTTTTATACCACCACCCTAGGTCAGAAAACGACCCACGACGAGAGCCATGTACCCTGCATGCACTGCCACGGCACGTAGCTTTGTGGCACGGGTGTCTGCACGACGCTTTCGCAAGGACTGACCAGGTCGGAGAGCTGCTCCACGAATCTGAGAAGCTGGCTCCTCTCCTGAGAGTCCCTAAACTTTAAACCCTTTTTTTGAACCCAGACTCTGCCAATTAGCTGGGAAGCAGCACTTCCAACTTTAAACCCTTTTAACCCTAAACCCTAAAGCTTCCTGGGGCAAACTCATGCCTAGTCTCAGACAGCTCAAGCATGAGCAAGCCGGAGATACGAGAGTGCACGCGGTCCAACAAAGCCAATGGCTTATTGACGTCGTCGCGCGTGATGTTAAGGAGCTTGGTGCGCCGGTTCTCCAGGTGCTCACGCAGAACTTCGGGGAACAAGCATATGTCTTGCGCAAGCTGGCGGTGAATATCCTTACAAGGCGGTCAACTGGCACCTGATGAAAGCCTGAATGATATGGGCGCTACGACTGCTACGATTGGGATTGGATCGACTCGACAAAGGCAGAAAGATCCACAACTCAGCCCAAGCACTCGTGGTACCCGCTCATCATGGTAGAACAGCGTCCGTGACAGACTTCTGCAAAGGCTGGAGATCTTGCCCCAGTTCGTCACTGCTTCGTTGAATCTCGCTATTGACTGCTGCGTGCGAAATGTCAGCAGCAAGCCGAGTGGAGTCACCAAGAACTGGTTGAGCCTCACGGGAAACATCCCGCCAGCTCAAGAGATCAAGCAGAATCCAAAGATACCCGGCGAAAAGTCAAGGCACCTCCAGGCTGATTCCGGAAGGGCGTGACGCCATGAAGAAATGGCAGCGCAGCATGCAGCCCAGATCGTGCCTCAAGCAGATCAACACAGGATAACACAGGTAACTGAAACGCAGGTTGCGTCGTTCGGCACAGGCAAGCCTTGAATTCACCTATGCAGCGAGGTGGCAGACGGCGACGGGCATCGCAACCTGCTGCAAAGTCCTGCTGGACACAACCTGAGGACATCCACTTCGGGCAAGGTCCAGGTTCAACATGTGCGAGAACTTCGGCTTCAGAACTTCAGCGTGTGATTGCGGAAGTTACACAGACAAATTTCAATCAGCCCAGTGCAGCGGAGAGACTTGCAACAATGTCAAGAAGAGATCGGTACTCCGAAAGCGCTCTTGAACCGGTATTGGCAATGCGTGTCCACCTCTCTCTTGAATGACCTTGTCGTGCTTGAGCCCGAATCGTTGTATCCCCAGTTCCCTCGCGAAGACCATGCATCTTCAGGAATCATTGCAACTGCGCATGTCACAGTAACTCCCTATATTGTCAAGTGGCCTTTCCAAAACGCCTTCGGCACTGCTGATGACGTCCGGGTCAATACGGAGGCTTTTGCCGTGCGCCAGGGCAGCTTCGATCACTTGCGGGATTCGCGACTGCTCGGCCTTGCGATGGGAACTCCAAATCGGCTCCCGAAAAAAGGAAACCTTTCAATAAATCTTTCAGCGTGGTGGGTGCCTCCTTCAAACGGTTGATGGCCGCGAGCTTGCTCCTGCAGCTTCAACAGCTTCTCAGAGAACATAACGGGTCGTGACCTAAATGGTGGGAGGCCCAGCCTGGCAACATCCAAGGCTGGATGCTCTAGCTTTCGGAGCTCGGCCTCCTCGATGACCGTGCGTAGAGACACCCTAGTATAGGATTCCGTTAATTCCCGGATCATCACGAGGTCCGTGAGACGGCCCCGGGCGTTCTCGAGTTCCTCGCCACTGATTTGCGCAGCGCGTGCCTCTTTCAGCACCTCTCGCACCTCGTCTTCGTCCTCGCAATCCACCATGGTTTCGAGCTTTCGTCGGAGCCAGGCTAACTTTTTGGTCGCGACCATCTCGGCCAGGGCATCTTGAGCTTTGTCGATTTCCACAGATGGCAGTTCCTGGCGCCTTGCTTCGCGAATCGCCTCACGAAGCTCTGTCTCGTTGCCTTGAGTGGCAATGCGAAGGCCTGCCACCAGCCGATCGGAAACCAGCTTTGTCAAAGCGGCCTGTGCCGCCTCTATATCCTCGGCAGCTACATCTGCCTTTCTAGCCTCTGCCAAAGCATCCCTGAGCTGTTCCTCCTCCTGCAAATCCGTCGCATCCTGCAAGTACTTGGAGATCCTGGCACGGGCCTTCTGGCGCAACGTCTCCTTCGCCTTATCGATCACTTCCTCGGAGAGGCCCACCTTGCGCGCCTCGGCAATGGCGGCTTTGAGCTCGGACTCATCGGCGGCCATTGACTGTTCCAGTTGTCGCTCAGAGCGTCCTTAACGCATCTCCACAAGTAGCTTTCTACCGGAGCTTCTGTCCTGTAGCTATCGCATTAGTATATACAACCACGTTCAAAACAAAAAAACACTCCTCACATTCATCCAGGTGACGCTGCACCAGAACAGTAAGAGCAGCTTGGGCCGTGTCGACCTCCTCGGTGGGCAGCTCCAGCTGCTTAGCCTCCAAGATGGCCTCCCGTAGAAGCTCTTCATCTCCGCTAGCTGCAGCCTCTCGGAGCTCCGTCACGTCCCGCTGCCGCACCAAAGCAGAGAGTGCGTCGTTCGCCCTTTCCAGCTCCTCTGCAGGGAGGCCATCCTTGCGCGCCTCCGTGATCGCCGCCCGCAGCTGGCCCTGCGCAACACATCGGAATCCATCAAGCAAGATGTCCTCTTACCCGTCTTACCCCTGTAGCGAGCCTCGTCATCACTGCCGGCCGCATTTCTCAGGCGCTTGAGCTTCCGAGCGAGAACGAGGCTGTTCAACTGCTCTTGCGCACGAGAGCCTGGGCTTCACACTCGCACAAGGCAGGCAAGGCTCCACATAATCACGTCGCGAGCCGCAGGAACCGGAGCTAGCCAGCAACATCCCTGCTTCGCCGAGCAGCATTCCTCCTCCGGCAGGTCCAGTGCCCTTGCCTGGGTCAAAGCCTCGCGTAGTTGGTCCTCATACCAGGCCCGACAACATGAGAAGTGGCCGTGAAGCCAAGAGTTTGATTCAGCATGGTGATTATTCCAACGATCTCATCTCAGGAGAACCAAAAGTTGAAGCAAGCGATGTCCTCATCGCCACTGGTCACGGCATCCTGGAGCTGCTTCAGCTCCTCAGCCAGTGGTCAGACAGGCAAGGCATGCTGCGCACGGTGCCACGGTGCTGGATCAAGACCAGCACCACAAAGTTCAGTCATGAGTCATGAGCACCTACCACTTCAAAACCCCGCAAAGCTGAAGAGCATCTCGTCTACTGTATACATAGCCAACAACGACACACGCACCGCAAGTCCACTTCTTACCAGCGCAGTTGCCGGAACGGTCTGTCTTCATGTTATCTGTTGATTTGTGGCACAGTGGGTCCTTCTCCAGGAAGATGTCCTTCAGAGTGGCCTGCGCTTGTCCTTGGCCACGCACAGATCAGTTTCAGGGGACAGGGGGCGTCCCCTGAAACACAGCCGACGAAAGTCAGAGTAGTTCGGCCCCAGCAGCCGAGGATGGAATTGGCCCGGGCTAGCTCCGAGCCGTCTTCGGGGAGCGAAGTCGGCGACGCCTTCCGCGCCGCCGCGATGGCCTCCCGCAGCTGGCCCTCGTCTCGGCTGCCGATGGCCTTCTCCAGAAAGTCCACTCGCCTCCGCAGGGTGAGCGTCTGCAGGAACTTCTGCGCTTCCTCCACCTCTTCCACGGGCACGTCAGCCTCAGGGACATGCAGGCACAATGCCTGCAGAGGGCAGCTTGGCCTCACAAGCCTGCCTTGCTGGCATCGCTTATCGCACCCCGCAGCTGTATCTCATCCCCAGTCTCCATAGCATCGCTCCTTCGAGAGACATCAATAAGCGGCGGGTGGAATGTCGGACGACTCTTTGAACGGACCAGAACATGCACCCCGATCACTCGTCGAGGGGCAAGGCTTTGCGTTCGCGAGCCAGAATTAGCTCGTTCAGTGCATCCTGATTTTGGGCCGGCAAGAGAACTCAGGAGAACTCAGGCTTGCTTCAAGCGGACCGAGCTGAGCTTACTCGGTCGGAATGTGATTGCGGTGTCTTTTCTCTAAGCCAGAGCACCTTCTGGGGCCCTTACCAGCGAGCTCCGGTCATGTACGGAGCTGCAAGAGAAACATTATCAATTATAGACGTGACTTAACTTCTTAAACCTCCTCTCAGGACATCTAAGAACCATATATTAGCCATATATTCTGAAGGTCTTGACTGGCTCGGCCTGAGCTTTGTCGACTTCGTCGGTTGGAAGATCGGCCAGACCGGCTAGGCGGGCCTGTGGGCGAAATCGCGGAAAGGAGACTGTGTCGCCTCACTTACAAAACTGCTGTATAACCAGGCAGCCTACGAGTACCGAGATGTGTCTTAGAGTCAAGACTACCACCGGAGGCAAGTGCAGGCTGGAAGACTCCAGCAGGGCCACCTCTTGAATTGCATTCCGGAGCTGGGTCTCATCGTCTCCGACTGTGGCGCTTCGCAGCACCTTGAGCTCTCGCTCTTGAACCTGAGCAGGAGTCGAAGTAACTGCAACTCAAGCCGTTGTTCCAGTGTTTTCTAGGGGCGCACCATTTCGGTCAAGGCTTTCTCGGCCGGTTGCAGCTGAGAAAGTGGGAGCTCCACATCCCGCGCCGCCTCTCATCGGAGTACGCGGCAACAAGCCGCTCTGAGCCCTTGATTCCCGACCGGCCTGGATTGCATCTCGTAGCTGTGCTTCATCCCCGCTTCCCATGACCTGTCTGAAAGTCTGAAAGCCGTCTGCTAGAGTCCCAAACCTGACAAGATCTCCGACTTCTTCCTGGCGCCTCTTTCAGATTCTTCAGCGCACGGTCCACCAGAATGCAGTTCAAGGCGACTTCCGTCTGCTCCAGACTCTCCACCAGGGCATCAGCGCCCTCCGGCCGCTCAGATCGCTCGGGATCAATATCCTTCGAGATGGAAGAAAACTTCTGTTAACATTGCCATGCAAATACAAACACTAACAGCCGGGCCGTCTCTGAATTACACTGCTTGCAGGTCCTGGCGCGCAGCTTCCAACGCTTCTCTCAGCTTGCTCTCATCAGCACTTGCGCGAGCATCTTCCAATTGACGTAGCTTGGCATCCACGGTACCTCGTATTCCGTCACCCTGCAGCAACCCTGCCCCACAGAAACCCGGCCGGTCTCGAAGGCGGATTTGAGGCAAACACATCCGAGGCAAAACGACAAGCTGCGGGCAGCCGTGACTTTGGGCGTCCCTGGCCAGAATCGCCGAAGCTTCTCCTGCCATGTTGCAGTGTTCTGCAGATCCATGGAACCTCCAGCTCATGTCTCGAGTCTCGAGCACATGTGGCCTTCCATTTCCGCCGCCCGCGACGCATCACCGTTCGCACCGCAGCGGCCGCGATGCCAGGGCTCGCTCCAAGCAGGGCGGGGCATCCTTGCAGGAAACGATGAAACCGAGGCCCAAGGATGTCTTAGGGTCCCTCGGGTGCGGCAAAGACACGCTTCCCGTAAACCAGTGGAACGGCTTGCTGAGCCGAACTTCCCAGAAAGGTGCTTGACGTGCCACACGCCTGCACAATCTGCTGAGACAACTTACGGAGACCGGTGTTGTCAGTAAGCTTTTCGCCACACGAACCTGTCGGTGGAGGCTTGTTTGCCGGTTTCTGCCGACTTGCAGGAACATGTCCCATGGCGACAACGGACTCGGCCGAGAACGGGTCAAAGACTGGCATATGCTCATGTCAAGGTGGAGTTTCCACGGGGTTGAAATCCCCGAGAATCTTTGGCTCAGGTTCAGGGCTAGCATCCGCTGTGCCAACACGCGCTCACACATGGAAAATGCCTCAGCATAGTGCACGCCTTCAAGTACACTTCCTCTCGAGCTTGCTAGCCAGAGCTGTGAGCGTCACAGACATCCCTTTGTCAAGTGCTGCTTCTCTCCTCTCGCTCGAGCGGGGAGCACCTTCCCAGATATCTGTTTTCGTATGAGCCAGGTCCAGGTATTTCGAGCCCTGCCATGTAACGGGAGCTCTCGTGGCCGCGTGTTGCAAAGGAGGGTCAGCGCCTCGAACCGGCAGACGTCCTCGAGGCGACACCTAGCCGAAGCCCGAGTTGGATCTCAATGGGAGCCCGAAAAACCCCGGCTTCGGCCGCCTGACTGCTCACGCCTCGGATTGCTGAAGGTCGCATGCTCCAATCAAACTCCAATCGGGTTCGGTTCTCGAAACACATCGGGCCCAGACTTGCTTCCTTCCCAGTACCTGCAAGAACAGCACTGTAGCGACAAGCATGGTTTCATGGCGACCCTCCAATGTTCCTTCAGTCACGACGACAACTATGAATTGTCTAAACAGGCGCGTTCACCACCAACAGGGTGCAACCTCCATCGCCGTTGTCATCGTCGTCCTCACCACCATCATCATCACCATCACCGTTACCATAATCATCACCATCATCATCACCAATATCATCACCATCAACAACATTACCACCAAGATCACAATCCGCAGCGGCGTCGTCATGGTCGTGGTCGTCGTCGTCATCGTCATCGTCATGCTCTTATTCTGATTCTGGTTTTCATCGACATACCGTTCATCTTCGTCAATCGTGTGACAACTTAACATCGGCAGCTAGGCAAACGTTCAAACAACAGCTTACCGTACCGAAGGGCTTGCACTTGCGAAAGCCGAGGGGATCTCCTGACAAATTGCTCCGAGCCTCTGGGAGTCGTCGGTGTGTTCAGTCCGGCCGTGCCTTTGAAAAGCCAAGCACCAGAAAGACTCCGACACTTAGACACGTCCACAGAGACCCTTGATGAAACCTTGGCGTGACCCCCTGCGCCCAAGACTCAAGACAGCTTTGGAAGACATCGCTGAGTGGATGACCGAACGAGAACTTGGGGCCTGCCTGGCGACATCTGTGCTGAGTAAAGCCGCCGCCGGGCCACCGCTGGACGCAGGCCGTCTCAGGTTCTACACCGTTCCACCTTGATCGTGGAGACCGTGGCCATGGCGGGGTATGAACCTGAGTACCCATAGCCCTGCAATCGCAACTGATTCAACGCTGGAGGCGCAAGATCTGTGGCTCGGATTTTGCTGCGAATGCTGATGCCAGGATCTCCCTCTACAGTCGGAGATCCCTTGCGTGAAGGATTACGGCCACCACAGCCCGGGGGCGTCAGAGGTGACCCAAGCGATCACTTTCTGAGCGGCGCCTCCAGAGCCGCTGGGCCAAGGAGGGAAGTCCGAGCGATGACGGCAGGTTACGGACTCGGTACGCACTACTTGCATCTACTTGCTAGGTAGAGTCTAGAGTGAGCCACTACCTCCAGCATTGCTCGGCATGACCCGCAGCATATGTGTCAAAGAAGGTCACTTTCACAGCCACCCTGGAAGACCTCACCGCATTTGGCCTTGCTCTAGCGATGCTGTAGGCAAAAGATACGTACGTCTTGTCGATTATATCACCTCAGTGCTAATGTGGCCCGGTGGGGAGTGGCAGCGCTGCAGCCTTCCGAAGAGGTGCACCTTGAAAATGATGAGCCCTTGATCCAAATTCAAAGGAGAGCTCAGTCAGTGCTATGCCGTGACTCCTTCGAGTAACGGCCACGATCACGATCTCACACGATCTCAAATAACGATGGCTGCCTCTTTAGCCTTGACGATGGGATAGGACGG